TGTGCACTTCTAACCAGCTCTGCAGCCACTCTGTGTTACAAGGGTGCCATTCAGGGTAGGTGTGGTGTTCTTTTCACTCAGGGAAGAATGAGCAAGAAAGATGACATCCACTTTGCGCTGGCAGTGGTGCCATACACTCCTAAACATCATTTCCTAGAATCCCCATAGCCACCTGGAGGTGCTATTATCAGAGCTAGCTGGTCAACAGTGCACTGGCCATTCAAAGAGAAGACAGCATGGTCCAGGGCAAGCTTTCTGCCAAAAAAGACAGGAGAATGAAAGCTTTGAGAAGTACACAATCGAGATGACTCTAATCAGTAATCTGAAAGGCGCTTGTAAGTGGTTCCAGTTTTATTTAGCTGCTTCCTGCTGTGATTCTGAGTCAAAACAGGAACAAGTGCCTAATTTGTAATATTATCCAACAGTGTCAGGAATGTAGTTAGCTTTGATTCCAGATCCGAGACTCGGGCATGCTCCTCTTGCCTCTGAAGGCATGCGCAGTAAACAGAGAAATTAGATGAGGCAGTGATTACAGCAGAGCAAACCCTTTGACTATACTTGGGATGTGGGACCTCAAGAGTCTCAAAGCTCTCCTTGCAGGGCATGGCCACAGCTCAGCTAAAGAACAATGTCAAACAACAAGCCTGGTAGGATTCCTGCCTCAGCAAAGCACTCAAGTGTCACAAGCTCTTTATCTGAAGCTCAGGTGAGACCACCTGCTAACAGACAGTGATGGTGACCTGTGAACTTTCTTTTATAGTAGTGCTTGGGCTTGAACCCTGGACCTCAAGAGTGCTAGGCAAGAGTGATACCAGTGAGCTATGCACCCAGCTAAGAACTTTCTATATATTAATCTATTCAATCCTCACAACAGCACTTCCCCCTTTACATTTCCATTTTACAGACAAGGGGGTTGAGGTCATTTTACTGCCGCAAGGTGGCAGAGCTGAGAAGCAGCAGAGTAGGCCTCAAATCCAGAAGACCTATCTCTAGTTCTTATTCTTGACCACTGCAGTCAACTGTTTCTCTCATACCTAAAACAGCAAAAATCCAGTGTTCTGCAAATTAGAGGTTTTCACTGCATTAGAAAACGATTATGGAGTGAATGAAACAATGATTATGTTTGTGAAAGGTTTAGTGAGGGATTAACATCCACATGGTGTCTTTGCCCAGTGGCTAAGGTGTGAGTGAGTAAACAGGGCAGCTGTTTGCTCAGGATTCCTTCCTCTTCCACATCCTACACTGGGCTGCAAGCCTGATGCTTACTGGGTCTTGTCTGACTGACAGCTGTCACCAGACCATCACTAATGACTGATCCAAATATGCTGTCTTCTAATTTGATTGTTCTACTTTGTTGAGCACAGGGTTAGACTCTAAAGTCTTTTGCAAAAGGGACTCATCAGAGATAGGAAGGGAGACATGAGTGTCAGAGGAAAGTTTGAAGAATGGACCCTGGCCTTGTTCTAATGATTCCTCTACTCCTCCTTACTGTGCCTTGGCCACCTTAGGGAGCACGGACTAGCCAGGCAGGGAGCAGCTCAAAGAGAAAACCAGCAAGGCCTCTTTATCTCTTTTATTCTAGAACAATGATTTCAAATTCAAGAAAGTGACCAAGACCTTTCCATAACCTACCACTTCTACTGAAGTTGTAGGAAAGTTGCTCAGTCCTCTCTATAGATCAGACTGAGGTATCTAGAGACACAGGAATACCACAATATCTTGTCATCAGAGACAGGGGTGCACCTCCAATCCCCATTCTTTAGAGGATGAATGTCATAGCTTTGCTTAAGTATTTTAATTGGAAGTCACAAAATACAGGAAGAAAAGAAACTATTTAAAAAGTAACATAAAAATCCCAAAGTAGAGAGGGCACGTGGGAATTTATTGCACTGTCACAGAAATGTTCTGTCTCGTGTTCTTCTAGGAGTTACACAGTTACATACATTTACCACAATTCAGCAATGGTACTTTCTAAAAGACTGAACTTTATGTAAACTATATATCAATGAATCTGGCTTTTAAAAACATCTCAAAATACACTTTGCCACATTCAGGCTTTATCCATAATTCTATGCAGAAAAATCTCTCTGGAGGAATGGATGATCAATTAACAATGGTCCCAGAGGAACAGGGTGACTAGGGGAGAAACTGGAAGAATGTACTTTTCACAGCACCTATATCATAGTGTTTGAATTTTTTATCATATGCACAAACTATCTGTCTAGAAAGACATATCAAAAGAAAGAGAGAAAGAATTAAAATGAGATGAAGGAAGGGAGAGGAGGGAAGAGGGAAGGAGAGGTAGGAAGAGGAGAGGAGAGGAAATAGAGGAAGAAAGAAAAGTGGCACAGGTTTTAGTGCCACACATGGCCCATGCTAAATCCCAGTGCTACCACCCACTAGCTGTTTGATCCTGGACAAAACATTCAGCTTTTCTCATCCATAAATGGAGACACCAATGCTCTTCCCCACTAGGGTTGCCTTGAGTGAAAAGAGACTGCGCCAAGGGAACCCAAGTACATAGTAACCCTATGCTTCCCTCTCTTAGCAGCTGTCATTAATAGGAGTACTGAAAATAAGAACCGACATTTTACAAGAAAAGACTTGGGATGCAGCTTTTTCTCCTTTCATACTTAAGAAAAAATGGATGAGCATATACATAGCTGTCCTTTGATAGCTGCTGGTTTTAGTGGAAAACAATACAGCCACACAAAGAGAGATGTTCAAAAAGCAAGCACCCCACTCCCACCTCCACCCTCCATTGAACCCTGGACCGTTTTAGAAGAGCTTGAAATCACCCATCCTGAGCTGTACAATGAGCAATGGCTTCCATGCTGATTATTACACTTCACAGGGAAAGAAAGATTAGTCTTATAATGAATAAGAGAGAAAATATGAGTGAATATCTATGATTCTCATCTGAGTTGAAATACACTGAGAAGTGAAATCACTGCTATCTGAAGGGATTATTGTAAAATATAAATCCATCTTTTAGGCCATTTATTTTGTTATTCTGAATGAAATATACTCTTCCACCGTGGACATGCCAGTATGCAGAGACAGAGAAAAGTTGTCCAGATGGCAGTAAACTTGCCTGAATTTTCCATTAGGCTTAGCCCAGGCCTTCTCTATAAAGGTAAACCACTTGAGGAAAGTTGATATGTTAAACTAGGACATCAAGGACTATCATACTTTAGTCTGATTTCCATCTATTTTTATCTTCGCTCATAACTCAAATCACATAAGGAATATTAGAGAAACAGGGTGTTATAACATGAGAAAATAGGGAGGAGGAGAGCTTGTAGGCAGTGTTGTGTTGACAAGATGTGCACACTTTTTCAATGCCAAGACAGTGGTATAGCCGTGGAGCTGGGCAGCAAGAGGGAAGACCACAATAGGTGAAGGACACTCAGAAAGAAGAGCAGCCGAGCACCACACCAAACATGAAACCATGTTATTCACCAGCTACGTAGTATGGAGACATGACATGTATGTTTCAAAAGGTTTTTATTGAATTAAACTTATTTCAGTCTAAACAAACCTTTCTCTACTCTGAATCTACCTTACTGAAACCAAGAGAGTAATATATTTTACTGTCATGTTGGCAAAATCAAAATGTCCAGGCAGAGAGGGTACACACAAATCTATACACTCAGATGTCTCCTTTGGAAGAAGAAAAATTTGGCAGTGGTTATTCATATTTAAAACATGCATAATTTTGATTCACAAATTTCACTCCCAGCAATGTATCTTAGAGAAATATTGGCACAAATACACAAGATTTTTTCCCTCAAAGATATTCAATGCAACATTAGGCGGCAAACTGGAGACACCTAAAATATCTGTCAACAGGGAAATGGTTAGATCAGTAACAAAAGGTAACACACAGAGAACTCTAGACAGCAATTAAAAGACATGTCACATATCTATATGTACTGTGATGTCTAGAAGCAGATGTGAAAGTGTTTGGTTGACAAAATGTAAAATAACATTTTAGTATGAGCAAATATTTGCACTGAAGATGGAAGGATGGGATGGACGGATAGACAAACAGATGGAAGGATGGGAAGAAAGATGAATGGATGGATAAGGGGAGGGAAAGAGGGAAGCAGAGAAAGAGGGAGTGAAGAAAAGGAGGAGGGGAAACAATACAGTGAATGATAGAAGTGTGTGCATCTAACAAACTGTTGATATAGATTATCTATTGGGTTGGGACTGAGAAGAGAAGAAAAACGTACTGTACTTTCACTGTTAACTTTCATACATTGTTGGATTTTTAAAATTTTTATAAATGTATCTATTACATTTGTAATTAAAAACAACTGAATCATTATTTTTAAAATTGAAGGAACAGTGTATGTTTTCTTTTCAAGTTGAGTTAATGTTGGACATCGAAAATGAAGATTACTATCTAGTCTCCGCCTGGACTCTTAAGTAAACTTTGGGTCATTATTTTCCAGCTGCATTTCAATTTTCTCAAATGGGCCCAAAGACAAGTACCCTTTCAAATCTCAGGATTATACATATTAAACAACTTCAGTTAATTAAAAAAAATTCCCCTCCAGGATCAAACAGTCCCCTTCAAATCCTTACAGCAGGGTTCTCAATTTTTCTCTAAAATATTGTTTGCCAGCCTCCACTCCCAGAGTGTCTGACTCAGTAGTTCGGGGTGAGGCCTCAGAGCCTGGGTTTACCTAGGTGCTCCTCCTGCTGCTCCAGATCGAGGGACGACACTTTGAGAATCACTGCTCCAGTGGGGAAGAAACTTTCTGCTAAGGGTAAATAATAACGGGGACCCTGGTGAACCAGATTTGATAAGGACATGTGCCCACCCTGCTACTTCCTGACCACCTTTTCCTGGGAGGTGAATCGGCTCCTCACTGACTCACTCTGCAGCATCAGCCATAGGAGGAAGGGACCTCCAGGGGGCCACCGATGAGGGGCACCAGAGACTGATACAGAGGAACTCAGCCTCCAGCTTCCAAGAGAAGAAAACTCACCTTCTGAGAAGATGATGTGGTCGTTGCATTCATCAGCACTACAGGAGCACATAAAGAAAGTCTCGCCAAGCACTTTTTTTTCCTTCATAATGCACTTCAACGAAGTAGCATCTTCCAGAATAAATCCATGGTAGGGGAGCTCAGGGTCATGGCAAACCGTCTCTAGTGTTATGTTCTCGTCATTCTTCCGCCTAGGGTATAGAGTTCAATGAGGAGAAGAAAGAGTGAGAAACGAAAAATGGATAAAATATGGAATCTGGATAGAAAAGTGATCTGGTCATGAAGTTGTTCCTAATAATGGCAGGTGGTTTCTGTTCCATAATTTCCTGTACTTTCTATATTCATTTCTGTTTTTTCTTTGCTCACTCCAAGAATCAATTTATGATTATAAATATGACAGTTTTCTGTGGGGTTGTCCTGCCAGAGAATTTTACACACATGAAATCTACTTGAATTCTTAAAGAGGAGAAATGGGAAAACAGAAGATGCCTGTGTTCTAAGGCTCATTTTAACCCTTCCACCCAGATGTACTGCAAGGCTCACATGACATCCTTGGTTTATTTTGTACATCGAGGTCCTCTCCAGCTAATTGTTTTAAAACAGGACACCTTGTAGCAGTGGCAGAGCCCCTGTTTTGTTTGCTGGCCCACATATGTCTGAGGGACACAGTCCATGTCAGCAGCTGGTTCTGCAAACAAAATGAGAAGGAACATCCCAGATAAAAATGTAATTTCTCAAATCACAGGAAGCAACAGAAAAGGAAAAACAAAACATATGGGGAAGAATTGCAGGATGTTCTTCATTCATAGATCAGCAAAATAGTTCATGCTGTCATGAACTAATTCTACATTTAGTATCCCTCTGGATCACATATTTTGGGTCTAATTCAGCTAAGGGCTCAGCCAATATCTCACATGGCACTTTCCTTGGGCCCTAGGAAGTTCTTACTTGACTCTACATGCAGATGACACTTAAAAATGACATGATAAAATTGCTTCTCGGCCTTTTGGCTAAGATCAAGTGTAAAATGACATGATAGATACCCATTATTATAACTGAAAAAGCCAAAATAAAACTTCAGCATTCTTGGAAAAGGTTGTGGCCTCACTAACACTTGCCTCTGCTTCTCTCATGAACATTCCACCTGAAATGATTCCGTCCACCACGAAGGTTGGTCTGACATTCTCCCTCCCATCTCAGCCCTATTCAGATACAAAATGACTAACATCTTAAATGGTGGTTTGTGTAACTGGAAAAAGTGTGGGGAAGCTGAAATTAGGCCTTTAATGATGTGATGGGTCCAGTCACCTTTGCAAGTGTAATCTTCTGTGAGAGAAGGATTCGCAGTGCATGTATATGAGTACGCACGTGCAGCCACACACACAGGTGCACGCTCAGTCATACACAAGTGCACTCACACACACATACACAAACTCAGTCCTCACAGCAAGGAAAATGGAAGGCAAGCTAAAAGCAAGAAGCAGCTAAGGAATAGCTTTCACCTAGAAACAAGTAGTGCCTTTCCCCACTGAGAAAGAGCAGATTTGGAGAGCACCATTTTCTTTGTGTTTAATGCAAGGATACTAAAGGCTAGTTAGTGAACAAGGCAGTAATCAAAGCAGGAGAGTGAGGGGTAGAGCAGCTGGACCAGGAATGGAGCTGGTGTTGATTATACCCGTGCAGCCCAGAAGCACTCCAGGACCAGCACCTGTGCCCATGAGGAAGACTATTGCCCCTGTGGACATGAACAGAGCAATGCCTCACTAAGTGAGCAGATGCTTCCTGCTAGGGAGGAGCGACCGTCAGAAACCTGCCTCTGGGGCGGCTATCTCAGAACTAAAGAAATCTAAGTACGCGCTCCCATGATTGCAAGGTAAATGGGTCTTGCAATGTAGCTCTGACTGGCCTCGAACTGAGTATGTAACTCAGACTGGCCTTGAACTCATGGCAATCCTACTGATTCAGCCTCCCCAGTGCTGGGATTACAGGTATGCTCTACCACTCCTGGCTTCTATTTCCTATTATCTATCTTTCATTTTGCTCTTTAATTTATTTATACATTGGGTTTCTCATATAAGAGAAAGTTAAGGTTATGTGCCTAACTCATTTCACTTGACGTTATGGTCTCAAGGTGTATCCATTTTCCTACAAATGACTCAAGTTTATCCTTTTTTATAGTGGAGTAGTTCTCCATTGTGCCTATTTAAAGGGAAAGGAAAAATTATGAGAAAAGAAAAGAATGGAAACGAAATCTATGTAAATAGGGAAGGGTGGAGGGGGTGAAGGGAGCACAGGTAATGGGGGAAAAAATAAGAACCAAGATACATCATGTACAGGTACAAGCACCCAATGATAAATGTAAACATATTGTATACCTAAAATGTACCAATAAAATAATTAAAAAGAAAAAACAAACAACCTACCTATCCTTAACCACAAAGCTCTTAGGCAGTCTTTCCAAAGCCTTTAGCCATGGGACAGTTTTGTGTGTGTGCATCTATGTGTTAGGTTTTTGTCGAGATAATTTACTTCCAGAGAAAATCATGGAAATTTATCCTTGAGAAGCAGAAGCCAATGAATGAATTGTAAGCCATGAAATAAAGCTGTTCTCTAGCCACTGGGAAGCTTTTCAGAGACTTTTACTTTCCATCTTCTAGCTGCTTAGAACTAAAATTGCAGAGAGAAAACTATTATGATACTTAAGTCTGGAAAACATCTTTAATTGATTTCTCCACTTACATGTGTAAGTGAAACAGTAAGAAATAACAATTTCTTAGCAGGCAGAACTAAGCAGGCAAAACATCTCTGCACAGTGTATAGCACAGGAAAAGAAGATACAATGGCATATATATATAGACTCCTTTTTTTGTCCTGCAATGTTTCACTGAGCTACCAAACAGTTTGCCAGTATCTATTGCAAGGAAATTAAATTTGGCTCCAAAGATATTTCCATCCTTAGGAAAAGCTTAACCATTTTACATGGAATGGGTATACATCTGATGTTAGCCAAGGAATGAATGTGAATGAATACATCCCTAAAACCAATAAAAGCAATGGAACCCACTTCATGGTAGATCCTCTGTTTCCATATTTGGCTATTTTATAAACAACCTGCTGTCTAGTTTGGGATTCCTGGAAGCAGATATTAAGGCTGTAAGTTTTCTGTGCAGAAGGTACTTAGAGATGTTCTTGTAAGGGACTACAGAAAGCAGTACTGCAGAAAGGAACAAAATGAACTGCAAAACAGGTTGTAATAGAGGCCTCAGTTGATCTCTTAGAAGATCTGAAGCTGGAATAACTCTTGAGAGTTGTTCCAAATTGAGGTAAACTGGCCAGCAATTTGTTCCACTGCATCTGCCAGATATGGGATGCTTGTTTCTCATGAGGAGGATGGAACATAGGGGAGGCAGCTGCTGTCTGTGGAGGGGATATCCTTGGAGGGACTCAGGGCTGGTGCTCAGCAACCACCACCTTCAGGAAGCAAGCACCTTCATCCTAAAGAGGGATCAGGCAGCTGTGTGGAGGAATCCACCACACTTTCCTCTCTCATTATCAACTCTTGCACTCCACAGGAGTATTTCCCATGGTTAAGCCAGGTTAAAAATGGTGTTCATTTAAATTAGAAATTCCATATGACCCAGCTACCCCCTGCTAAGTATCCTCCCCAAAGAGCTTGTCATCCTACTACAGGGATACATGCATGGCAATGTTTATAACAGCACAATTCATAACAGCTAAATCTTGGAAACTGCCTACATACCCATTAACACATGACTGGGTAAAGAAAATGTGGTATTTATGTATAATGGAATACTACTTAGCTAGAAAGAATGACACATTTGAGACATTTGTAGGAAAATGGGTACACCTGGAAAATATTATGTTGAGTGAAATAAACCAGACACACAAGCTTAAATACCATATGGTATCTCTCATCTGAGCGACGATGCATAGAAAGGGACAAGGGGATGAATCTTTTGCAATAGGGAAGTGGTTCAAGGGAACAAAGAGGAGGAGGGAAGGGGAAATGAAAGGAATAAAGATATGCCATGAACAGGAACCTAATAACCCCAGTGAATGCAAACCCTATATGCCAGAACATGAGCTAAGGCAAATAATATCCACAAGTATGAAAAAGGGGACAGAGGAATTGGAAGGGGGAGGGAGAGGGAAGAGGAAAGGGATTAAAAAAAAAGAAACAAACTGTAATATGTAAACGTAACCACTCCCCAAGATGACTGTAAATGGCAGGAATTGCAAATACATACTAATAAAATAAAAACTTATGTAACAAATAGTGTTCACTGTATTTTCCCTCAATAGTTTAACACCAAGGAGAGAGAGAGAGAGGTGGGGGGTGACCTTCCTCTCCCCAGCGTGCTCACCATTTTTGAAACAATCAAAGCCTTTATCCCAGAGAAATTAGAGTCACATTCATTTGCTTAGACTTGATTTGCCGGTCAGGGGAAAAAGTAGGCTCTCTCCCCACAGTGGGTACCCAAGTAAAGATGAGCGGCAGAGCACAGAGCCATAGAAGGAAGCACTGAGGGCATGGAGTCTCGGTCTCATTCTTCCCTCTTCAAGTCATTCAGCTTCTCTGGAATTAATTTGACTTCAGAGAAGGAAGTCTGGCCCGGTGTTGGGAAACTATGTTTGGGAAACTATGTTCAGAAAACTATGTTTGTGAAACCGTTTAAACCTATGTTGTACTCAGATCTATTTGGTCTAAATGTTATGGGTCTTCCCTTCACCCTTCCCACTTCAGGAGAATGAATGTATTATATTTTCCCCCAGTAGCCTTTCAGTTTTCCTCAACAGAACCCACACCCTCTCTTGGTTGGACTGTGTCTGACTGCTTCAGCCATGCCTCAGACATCATGCTTTTAAAAGCTCCATTCACATGTGTTCCTCTCCCCAGAATACATGGTCAAAAATCCCTTTTTCAAAAGCATTATCCAGAGCTGGACATGCACGAAGTTAGCAGATATATTGAGCTACTGTCACAGGTCTTTGGTGTTAGCATTTCTTTAGTTTTTAAGTAACCTGTCTGCCCTCCAATGTGTATGGAAATCTACAGGGTGTCCAAATCTATCAACAAGGCAAATCTGTGGTCTAGAGAAAGTCTTAAAGGTTCATTTCCCAAAAGAGGGGAAGAGATATTTGGGTTTACATTCTTATTTGTGAATCAGCCAGGAGACACATAAGCTACTTAATATATAGCTGATACATTCAAAACATCTGAATAAATCCACAAAATGTTAAATCCCATTAATGACTTTACACTTCATAAAACTAGGATTCTTAATAATCAAAGTTATTTATCTCTTGTTCGTGCTCTTGATCCACAACCATGAATTAACAAAATGATTCGTAAGTGCCCACAGTGTATGTATAAAGTACTATTTGAGATGTTTATATGTGGGAGGGAGGTGAGTTAGAGGGAATTTTAGAAAGAAGAAGGAAGAGCAGAGAATCTGATCCAAGAGAAATAAGTAGCCACAAGAAAGACGGCATTTGTAGCTCAATGACAACTGGCACAACCAGGGCTTCTAAGTAATGGGTTGTTTTTCTTACTTTTCTAGTAACTTTCTTATTTTTGCAGTTTTGGTTTACCAATAGCCAACCTTTTACCACCTCTCTTTCCATCAAGCAGAATTGAGATTGTCTCAGAAGAAGACAGCTCCTGGTGTCACTATGAGGTACTGAGGAGGTGCTAAGTGACCAAGAAGGGAAATCACACTTCTTGATACAAGGAAGGATTTCCAGATTAATTTTGAACATAAAAGTCATCATACAAAGACACAAACAAAAAGCACAGAATGTCTCTAGAAATCACATTTAATAATTGGATGAGAGATAGATAATCTAAATGAAAAGAAAATGGGATAGATGTCTATATGGTACACATGCCTCAGCCAGCTGTTTGTTACTGAATGCTCTAAAATGTTGGCCATCACCGGCTTAGAGGTTGGAGACACATGAACCAAGCATACATTACTTATAAATCAAAAAAGAAAAAAACTCTCCTTAGAAGGGTCCCTTACCATACGGCCACACAGACTTCATGTGACTTCTCACAGATGGATGTGATGCTGCAGTTGCTCATGCAGGATTTCTGGTTGTCACAGGTGGAAGATCTCACATCACAAAATTTGCAGAGTTGTGAAAACTTGACTGCACCATTCGTTTCGGTGGCCATCATGTCATTATTAACTGGCAGGAGAGAAAGATAGAGTAAATAATTACACAACAGCTAGGCAGCATGCCAATGAATTCCAGAAGATGTTATCCAATTTCAAATGAACCTGATGTTCTGAGAGTGAATGTGGAGAAAGGCAAAATAATTCCTTCACTTCAGATTAGAATTCCCTCAGGTAAGCAATCTGTAACAAAGCCACTGTACAGAAGTGATGGTGGAGGGGCAGCAGCTTTTTGCTTTTGTCCATGACTATCATAAAACATTCTTTCTATAAAAACACCTTATAATTCAATAAAAAACAGACTGATCCCCTGCACAGTGCTGGGTACTGTGAGCACAAAATAAATACCCTTGTGGAGATTATGGTTTGGCTGAGTGAATAAATGTAGAAACCACCCAGGGCAGGGTAACCTGAAACCTGGAGGGAGGCACAGATGGTGTGGGAACCAGAGAAAAGTCATTGCCCAAATTGACAGACAGAAGTCACAGCCAAGCAGAGTTGTGAAAAGCAAAAGGGAGTAGGCTACCTCACAGGGAAACTCTTCCCAGAGGCACAAGAGTTTGCCACGGTCTTGCTACCCATGCCTGATAGACAGAACAAATACTAAGGTCTTCTGCATGAGTTGCCTGTTTCTATGGCTTCTGACTCCTTTCCATTGCATTGAGATGATTAACCAACACTAACCAAGAACCTCCTAGACACATCGAAGCATGTGAAGGAAAATGAAAGTTGGTTCCACCTAAAAGACCTTTTCAGACAGCTCCCTTTCTGTCCTTAGCCATTATCACTATCATCATTCCAATTTTCCTTCTTCTCCGACACCTTTGAAGGCCTTTCCGAGAAGCCAAGTTTGTTTCACCTCTGGCCTTTAACTTTCTACCTTTATCTGACTCCTTGTCAATTTTCTGGTTTCTGTTAAGGATCATTCTCTATCCTTAAACTACCTGCACATGACTACCACAGGACTCCTAATCTTCTGCACCAATTATATGGGTCACATATAATTGCTTATATTCTATCCAGAAAGATGCAAACTCCATGAGACTTGATCTCTCTTATTTACATCCTGTATCTCCAATATAAAGAAGGTATCCAAAAATATTTACTGAATAAATGAGTAAAGAAATGAATATACATAGGTGTAATTACAAGGTTCACATTTGCCCCATTATACCAAGTGAGAGAGCATACAGAATTCTCCACACACACACTGACAAGGAGTAGGATTCTAAGCATAATATCCACTCATGTTCACTCAATACAATATTGGAGATAGATGACTTTTGCAATATATAGGCATGCCAAGAAGCAGTAAGAAAGGTACAATAATCAATTCTCCACCTTTCTCCTCAATGGGACCCATTTCCATTGGTGATGGTATTAATTAAAGAGAGTTTGGAGAGTCCAGTGAAGACAATGCATTTGGACAACCAACATGAATTAACACACAATCTATGCTAAACTAAGAAGTTTAAGCATTTAGACTGCACATAGCATTGGACCAGTCACTGGCCCTCTGCAAGTTGGGAGGTACTTGAAGAGGAAAGGATGAGACTCAGTGCCCTCAGTGCTTCTTTCTATGGCTGTTCTCTGCCACTCATCTTTACTTGTGTGCTCAAGACACCCCCTTGGGAAGAGTCCCCTATGTTCTCCATGTGTTAAGTATGCTCCCGCCTTAACAGGAAGGTTTCCATTGCCCTTCCAGTGCTACTGTCTTCCCTGTAAATTTTAGATTTCTGTCATCAGTACTTTGCCCTGAAACCTTCATTGTTGTCTGAGCACAGCACCTGTTTCCTGGGTCTCTAAAAATATAAACATACATGTCTTTAAGATTTGCTTTCTTGTGGTAACAATAAATATAGAAGAAAAAATAAAACCATTCATCCCTTTCAGGCCTCAAGTTCATTTCAGGAAGCATATTTTTAGGTAACAAACTATTTTAAATTCTCAATGCCTCCTAGACCAAGAGCTCAATGGTTAGCTAAAAATACAGGCAGAAATTTTCTCTGAACACTATGTTAAATTTGGGACTAACACAACAATGAATACGTATTTTTTTCGACAATGGTTATATTTGGATTCATTTGTGAAACAACTTATTTAACCTGTTAAGTTTCCCTATAGGACATTATCAAAACAAAACAAAGAAAAGTGAGACTGTTTTCTATATTTGCCTTTTTTCTTTAAGGTTTTTAAGAATTTTCTTTAAGTTTTTTTTTATTTTTTGACAAACATCTACTTGATGATTGAGAAAGTTTGATGTTTTTCAAATACAAAGTAAACCCTTTTGACTTAAAATTTGGCCTTCCAGCTTAGATTAGTGGCTACATCTTTGAGGACAGGGTATAATCGGCCATTTGGGGAGCTAGATAACTAATGAAGCTGGGTCCCATTGAGGTATTCTGATTTAATTTTCCTCAAGCATAGCCTGAGCATTAGGAATTTTAGAAGCTGTCCATGTGGCTCTAAAGTGCACCCAAGGTTGAAGACCTTGACCAAAAAATAGGTTGGAGAAAAGAACAGCACTTTCCCCTCCAGCTCATAATCTATATGATGGTAAGAAAACAGCTTCACCATAAAGCTAAAAGAAATTCCCTGTGAAAAACACACCCCTAAAGAGATGCGCTTAGCTTATTTACACCTTGGTGGAAAGAGATCCTTTTCTGCGCTAGCCAATCCTTTTCTAGCAAATGCCTAGAAAAGTGAGAGAAATGATGGGAGTGAGGCGTGATAAGGTAGAAATAAAAACAGATGAAACTGTGGCAGTGCCTGCTATGGATATGTTGACAAGTGTAAGTGGTTTAAGTGGAATGCCTAAAAACAGAATCGACAAGCAAGAGACAAAAAGGATCATCAAAAAAGAAAGGGAAAGGAAAGAAAGAAAGGAAGGGACATCAATTTGTGGGGCTCCAAAGCCACTCGGGTTGCTATCTGCAAATGTGGCTCTGGAGATGAGCAGGTATACAGAGCAGATGTACAAGGCAGGCACCCTTATGAGAGGCCCAAAGAAAACTTCTTTGTTGAACTTTGGGAAGAAGACAGATCCACCTGTACCCTGTTCTTGGATACATAAGCATATGAGTGTGCAAAGGAAAATGACACCCACTGAGCACTGCGTGTGTACGAGAAAATGTGCCTAAGTTAGAGCTCATCTCATAAGCATTCAGGCAATGACAACTCCTGTAATCCTTGATGCAGTAAAAGCTACCAGGAGACCAGCATTTTTTCTTTTCTTTATGCAAGAGATGTTCACCACAATTCACCAACAAGTGACTTCTATTAGTTCATCCCAGGTGGCTCCCCACCTTAACAATTCTGGCCAGTCCCTGAAGGCATACAGATTTCTAGCCGTAGCATGAAGCCAATGTTCTCTTTCTTCTCCACAATAGAGGCCTTTGGGCTCTTTGTATGGTGGGACTGTCAGTTAAGTTCAGAGGGCAGAGCTACTCTCAACCTTGGTTGGGATCACCTAATTTTAATAAAATCAAATCACTCTGCAATGAGAAGGAAAGAAATACATATAAATTTTGCTCACCATTTTAGAGAGTTCACAGATTCCGTGAAGGCTGGTAAGCCCCAATTAAAGAACCCCAGGCCTATCTCAGAGTTCTAAGGAGTCCTTGATGAGATATTAAGCAGACACAGTGCTAATCAGGGTGGGGTGGAAGGTTCAGGAGGTGGCAATGTGAAGGAGGTGGTCATTCACTGTATGCAACAGTGCATCTCCGTCTTCAAATCCACAAGAAGAGATGGTACCAGTCATGGCCTTATGACAGAAAACATCTTCTAATAGTTAATATGCAAAATTTGAAAGCCAGAAGAATGGAAAGGCTAGGAAACAGAAAAATGTGAATGGCTATGAACAGTGACATTATTCTAAACAACTCAACAAAACCCACCTAAAGGACTTTAGCAAACCCTAACCTAAATGCAAAATGTTCTATTAAGGTGGTGAGTTTAAATTACTATAGATCCTCTGCACGCAGCTGATTTTCCTTAGGGAGTGTTTTACCCATAAGAGGCAAACTAATTATCCATAGTTCCTCAAAGATATGGCATCTCTCACCTAGAAAGTCATCTGCTAAAGGAAGTGAACCTAGCAGCTTCTCTCAGCACATGACAGTATCACAGGGTCCATCATATTTCACTTCTCGACAAACAAGCCCATGAGTAATGTCAAGAACTGGTCACACTGCCTTCCTCATTTCATCTCACATTTTCCCCAAGCTCACTACCTACTGTAAGGTCTGGAGAATATGAATTAAGTGCTTAGCTGGGTCTATTTCTGGAATAGTATTGTTGTCTTTGAGGGTCAGAGATGAGCAACCTAATAAGGTTTAGCCTTATTCCAGACACATATTGGGAACTTTGAATATGATTTTGAAATGGTGTCTCCTATTAACTGAGCAGTAAGATAAAATTTTCAAGATTTCACAAATAATCCAAAACACTTTGGCAGGAATACAATCATGTAACTTTGAACTCATGCTTCTATGTATCATTGTTTTTCTGACATGTTTGGGGGGAATTTAAGAATGTATTTATTTCATAAACACCTATGGATGTTTTGCTTAGTGCTATGTATTTCATAGGGCCACTGAATTTGACCCAGTTAAATGTAGTATATCAAAGAATAGTCCATGGCACTAGCAAATAGAACTCACTATGCCTTAAAGCTTTGCTTCTCAAATACTAATGTGCACACATCCCCTGGGAATATTTTTAACCTCCAGGTGGGAGGTAGTGTATTGGCTCACACAATTGTGGGGGTCAGCAAATTGAATTTATAGGGTAGGCTAGAAGGTTGGAAATGCAGGCAGGAATTGATGCTGCAGTTTAAGGCTGAATTTTCCAGGAAGTCTCAGCTTTTGTTCTTACAGAATCCAACTGACTACGTGAGAGCCCTTCACATCACAGAGGATAACCACCTCTATTTAAAGTCAACTGATTGTAGCTATTAATCACCTCTGCAAAATACCCACACAGAAACACCCAGATTCTTGCCTGAGTGAA